TTGTATTGTTATGCTATAAGAAAATCATTCACAGAAACTGAAAAGGGGCCAAAAATTTTATTTTTTAATTGTTACTGAGGGAAATCTGTTAGAGTTGAAAAGAAACGTCGAAAAAAACGAAAGAAAGAGACAGTGTTGTGTTGGTGTTGATGACGGCGCGGAGCTTAATATGCAAAATAGAACGAAGACTGCATGATTAAGGGCTTAACATCACAGTCCATTTTGTGAGGTAATAACAAAACATTGAACCAATGAGCTATCTAAATTTTGTCTGAGAATTTTTATTAAGTTCCAAGTAAATTATTGGCTACAGCAAAACATAAAATGAATATTTATTTTCTTTCTCTCACAGACTCGCTCAGAGTATTTTTGCAACAGGCGTGCATGTGTGCACTTTTCATTTACTCCTCACTAATCGCAAACTAAATGTGCACATGGCTTTAAAAGCAAACATTCGTCGTTTACTAAATGCGTCGTTCAACGAAGAATGTGAGAGTTGTGACTTAGATAACTGTGACTATGGATTAAGTAGAATATCATCAAGTGTGTTCATTTTTCTATCCATTGTTTGCGGGATTTTTGCGATTGGAGGAAACTCGGCTCTTCTTCTGGCTCTCACTCGTACAGATGCACTGCGTAGCCGAGTAAATTGCTCGTTTATCTTTTCGCTGGCTCTTGCCGACTTAATGGTAGGCTTAACTATGACACCATTGTACGTGTGCTACGCGGTCCGCTATGAACCTCCCTGGCTTATCAAGCTGGAGGGGTTTCTCTGGATTTTGACAGTCACAGCAACAACGTACAGCCTCAGTGCAGTAAGCTTGGACAGGTTGGTATCGGTTGTTTACCCTCTGCTTTATCATCAAATAGTAACTGAAAAACGATGCCGTGTGGTCTTATGTCTAATTTGGACTGGAGCCATTATCTTTGGTTTTCCAAGACTGGTCCTAGATGACTTTGTTAAACTAGAAAAGCTATGGATAGCTTGCTCTGTAGCCACGGTGGTAATTCCATTGCTAATCATGCTTCTTTCCTATACTAAAATCCTTTTAATTGTTCAAAAGACGAATCGATCTGTTGCAGATCAAAGTGTGTAGCGTGCGTGTGTTAGCGTTGGAAACAAAAAGGCTGTAATAACGATCGGCATAATCGTTATTCTATTTATTTTAACATTTATTCCAACTACTGTCGTTTACTTTATGCTTTTATTTGAGGAGGACCTCTGTAAAGAACTCACGCTAAACGACGTTTGGCTGTGGGTTGCACTTGTATCATTTTCTCACTCCACGTTCAATCCTTGGGTCTACGGACTCAGGTATCGAGAATTAGGACAAGCGCTAAAAGACTCTTTAAAATGTGAATAGAATTTGATATAATGAAATACATATAATAAAAGTTGAAGTTAAAGTTTAAAATCTTAAGTTAGAACCTCCCTATATATCAAATTGGTATTCATTGTACGTTACGATATTGAGCACCAGAAATAATACATTTTCACGGCGTCAGCCCTGATCTTGACTAGTTGTCATTTTACGTGGTGTCAAAAGTACGTTTGTAAATGACTCATTTTGTACTTTGTACTGACATGTCAAGTTTATTTGATTTTTCTCCGGCATAAATCGATCCACACCACCAATCTTTTTAGCAAATCTCCTAGATTAGCGGTTTACCTCTCTAGGGTACCACTTAATTTATTATTAAAATGTTGACTGAAGTCGATTCAACAAAAGTAAGTATTCTTGACGTTTAAGTTTCTTTGACAGAGTACACGCAGCTGCCAATCTCTAGCCTGCGAACAAAGAAGGTTTCCTGAAGAGTTAATAGACAAGTGTAACTTAAAGGTCGTTAGGTGGACAGACGAATAGCTCCTGACAGAGCAAAAAAGGTTCTTGAACACGCCATTTTCTCAGTGAAGTCTCCTTCGCTATCATTTGAGACCAAGCCCGTCTTACATTTAACGAAAATGTGATATTTTAACACTGAGTTGTCAAATAGAAAAGTCTCAGTGATAAATTGCTCTCAACGGCACAAATAAGCAAACCAGACATTGATTTCATACAAAACCACAGGAAGCAATCGCAAACTGATTAAAATTTAATAGCCTGTTAGTGCTCGTTTTTCAAGTTTATCCCGGATTACATCGTAACGATGTGAGCCCAGCAGGGGCTGGCAGTCAACTACGGCATTATCTCAGCTTTATCTGTCGGTCAATTTAATGGCAACCATAGCCTTTTCGAATTTTTTTGGAATTCTTGTTCTTTGCCCGGAATCATCGGAAGCTTGTTAAAGGTTTAAGAAAACGAGAGATTTTCTCATACCCATCTCTGTTACTTTTTTACGAAACAGAAAATTTTAGATCGATTTAGGTGTCCTTTGTTACGAATAATATGTGTTAATCAAAATACGAGAAATGAAATGCAAAAAAAGCTTCTAGAACCGTGGGGAAAGGAAGTCTCGATGGAATTAACAACTATGCAGAAATGTTTTAATTTCCTTGAGCTACAATAATATTCTTAATTTTTTTTTCGATTTGAGACATTTCAGGCCGTGAAAGCAGTCGTTGATTGCCGCTGACTCTGTTCGATATTGCCACTCAGTATAATCAGGTCCAGATAGTTTACAGTTATTGGAAACAAATTTCTTGCTCCAAATGATAATCGGCAGGATAGTTTATATAGATAGTACTTATTGATCTTTTTATTTTGGATATATTTTCGCCCCACACTCGGTTGCATGAAAATGATTGGCCAATCCAGCCTGGGTTTAATAACATTGCTTATTGTTAAGAGAAGGTTTTTTCCCACCACGTAACACAAAGTCAGTGCTAGATTAAAACATGTTGAAAACTCAACAAAATGCATTTTTTCATTTTAGTTAACAAGAGAAAACCGAGATTTTTCTCTTAATCAAGCTTTCACCTTCACAGTCCTGTGACACTCGAGGCGGTGGATGAGATGCTTTTAGGTGTAACCATTCGAATGAAAAACATGGAATTAAATTAATTCTCAGGAGTTATTATCTAGGCAAACTCCCATGGTGAGACGAATCAAATAAAACCTCTTCTGCCGCTTCTGACAGGGAGTGGTATTTTCGTATGATAATCATTATTTTACAGTTGGAATATCAGTAATTTTAACCTTCCTTATCAATATGAACGAAATTCTCTTGTGTGACTATTCAGCACGTTTAAAGTGAAACCAATTCGGCAGCTTTACACGTTTTTTCAGGATTTAACAAAGTGAATTAGGGCCGTATTTTGTCTCACCGTTCGATTTGGCAATTAAATCTTTGAGGATATTTCTCCCCACGAGATTCTTTGCTTGTACATAAAAAAGTCAATTTTCATTGAGAAGAGTAATTTTCCACTCTTAATATGATAAATTATTGATTACTAACTGTCATAAATATTACTAGCATTAAGAGATATCTTTTATGGAAAACTCAACAGAAATTTGGCAAGTGTCTGGACATAAAGCAACCTGCCAATTCCCTTAACAACAGTGGAAATTTATTACCCTGTGAGGTTTTGACTTGAATTTTAAGTCGTTTTTAATACATACATGTACATGCAGGAAACTGGTCAGGAACAGGTGTTTCTGGTTTATAGTAAGAGTGCGATAGGGACTGAGGGGAATTTTTAAGTGACTAGTCTAAAATAGACAGCAAAACTGTACCTGAAAAAGGTCTGGTATAGTCTTAGGGCATCAGGTCCCAGCAGTCAGTACGCCCACCCAACATTTCTCAGAGTATTTCTTAATATCCGTTTGAGCGGGGCTAAACTCTGGAATGCTATTAAAGAAATCGGAGAGCTAAAATTAGCGAGTCGTTTTCGCTTTAAAAAGCTTTTAAAAGAATCTGTCATCTCCAAATGTTGATCGGTGTACTTAACATGCAGCTATTTGTGTGCAAAGCCCTTGTTTTGTCTTGCTTCTTTGTTTTTTCGTTTGTGTATTTGTTTATTAATTACAGCTTAAAAATTTTTCTTTGAGAGTTTTTGTGTGCATGTGTTTATTTACAACAACTTTGATATCTAGTTACTTTTCTGCATGGCCTAGCCACTCAATGCGATTAGCTTTTGCTATTTCTGATTGGCTGTGCTCTCTTTTTTTTCACAATTATTTCCTTTTAATGACTCTACACTTTTGTATCAAGAGAGAATAAAGATTGTTGTTGTTGTTATTGAGTACCCACTGACTCTCTTCAGTGTGTTATACTAAGCCTATGTTCAAACTACGCTTGAAGGAAGCTTAAGCAACAGCGTTTTTGAGCGACGGACGTCAACCGGAAGTGGACTTTTTGCATCATTGGGCAGTGGTTTGGTTGAAACTCTCGGGTAAATCGTCTTTAAAAGAGAAAATATACTCAGCAATACAAGTTTGTTAGCGTCAAGGCATATAAAAAGGGAGAAGGCCTCACTTCCGGTTGACGTGCGTCGCTCAAAAACGTCTTTGCTTAAGGTCCCTAATGTGAACACACCAGTTCCCAACTAGGCACTAAATTGTGCACTGGGTCCGCCCGCTTTGCGCAAACGTTTTCACCTCATACTGAAGCAATCCATGGTTTTGTATAGCCGCAACGACCCTCTTCGCTCACGCTTCAAAATGGCGTCTATCGGAGCAAGATGGAGTAAATTTGTACAGTTACATGTCGGGTACCCAGTGTGTGAACACAACATCATTTTGTGCCGGTACCGAGGCACTAGTGCTCAGGCACCAAGTGTGACAATGGCCTTAGAAAGAGAACGATTTGTTCGCCTCTTGTAAGGGAATCCAAGACAGTCTTGGATTCTGGATTCTAGGTACTGGATTTCGGATTCTTTGTCAAAGGAACTTGGATCCCGGATTCCAATCCTTAGGTGGGATTCCGGATTCCTTGAGCTGTATTCCGGATTCCAAAGCCCAGGATTCCACAAGCAAAAATTTCCTGGATTTCAAAATCCTGATTCTCTTACATGAGCGAACTTATGATGTTCTAAAGAATTTAACCTGTTCTCTCAACGCTTTTCTTAAGGCTCGATATCTAAGTCCATAAACCCAAGGATTAATCGCTGAATGGGAAAATGACACAAGTGCCACCCACAGCCAAACATCATTCAGCTCAAGTTCTTTGCACCTGTCCTTCTCAAACAGGAGCATAAAATATACAACTGTGCTTGGAATAAATGTTATGATGAACAGACAGACGATTATTCCAATAGTGATGGCAGCTTTTCTATTTCGCAAAAGTTTGCCAGTTGTAAAATTGTTCGCCAGTTTTCGACCATTTTGCTTCTTGACGATTGTAAAAATTTTGCCATAGCAAGAGGACATGATCAGTACTGGTATGGCAACAGTGACAATCGAACAGGTGACCCATAACCTTTCTAGTTTCTGAAAATCGTCCAGAATCAGTCTGGGAAATCCGAAAACCAACCCGTCGAGCCAGATCAGCGCAATGACAACACGACATCGTCTTTCCGTTACTATCAGACTATAGCGGAGAGGATAAAGTATCGCAATTAGTCTGTCCACGCTGACAGCGCTTAGACTATGAGTTGTAGCTGTTACTGTTAAAATCCAAAGAAAGCCTTCAATTTTGATGAGCCATGGAGGATCTAAGTCGACTGAGTAGCAGATATACATCGGTGTCATCAACAACCCGATCAGGAGATCGGACACTACTAACGAAACGACGAAATCGTTCGTAATATGGCCATAAACTGTTTTACTGCGGTAAAATGCTGTAAGGAGGGCTAGGTTTCCTCCGACTGCCCAAATCCCGCAGATCAATGATAAGGAAATGAAAATAGACTTCGATATTTTGCTTAATCCATCAAATTCAACGCAATCAGTATCTTCGTAGTCTTGGGCAAAGTACGTGGCGTTTAATACCAAAACTGAATGGTTTTCTTTGAGATGAGGCTTCATACTTTATATTAGCATGGTTACCACGCCAAATCGATGAACACGCGATCAATCTTTTGTGATATTTCTTCACCTTCAGTTTAATCTAACTTTCTTCCGACAACAATTTAATTAAAGTGTACTCGGTGTGCCGTGTACTGTTTTGTATTCGCATAAATTGCGATTTTTTTATTAACATGCAAATGTCAAGTTTCAACATTCCGTATTTTAAAGTTCAATCAAAGCGCATGTGGTCGCTTTGCAACTCTTTACACCGCAGTTTGATGGAACCGTAACGTAATTTTCAGCCTTGTTGAGGGCGGCGAAGGAAAGAAAATCAGGTACACCGTTACTAACTGTAAATGCATTACCTCTGTTATCACAGGACTTTAATTTGTTAAAACCAGACTAACAATTTGTGCAGCTGTCTCTATAATAAATGGCTGTGGTTTTATGAATATGTAAGCACTGTACGTGCATAAAACGCTGCAAGTGATAATCGAGTTCCCTAATTGTAAACAGCCTCTGAGACCTAAGGTTCCTTGCACCCACTGGGTGACGGGTGTCAGGAAAACGCGGGGTCGGGGTCGGGGTCGGGGCCGGGGTCTTTCTTTTTTTAAAGACCCTAACCCTAACCCTAACCCTAACCCTAACCCGAACCCGAACCCTAACCCTAACCCTAACCCTAACCCTAACCCTAACCCGAACCCTAACCCGAACCCGAACCCGAACCCGAACCCGAACCCGACCCCGCGTTTTACTGACACCCACCCGAAAGTTTCGACCACGGTAGACTGCAAAACAGTCGGTTTTTTTCTCAAAATCAGTAAAGAAATCGGTAAAGCATGGCGTAAGAGTCTTAAGCGCGAAACGCGCGAGCCTCTCGCTCTCTGTTTTCAGCCTCGTTCCAGACCTTTTGTTTGACTGCTCGCGTGTACTTGAATTCGCAAAAATACGGACAGAATTGCAGTCGACGACCACGGCGAAAACAGTAGACGCCTGGGATCAGACTAGGGCAAGATATTTAAAATATATGTGCCAAAGCCCAAAATTTCATTGCTTTTTTTTCCAGTTTAAGATAGTTCTGGGTGCAACACGTGAAAAAATATGAAACACAGTCCGCTTGCCAATCGTGATGTTTAAGTTGTCAATTTTCTTCAATGAACGGGGCAAGTCTGACTTCTTTTTATTCTAGAATTTCTGTGACGTCACGTGAAAACGATCTTGAAGACGACAGGTGCTATTCATTTTCTTCAAACGGACCAGAAACCAGGGGCGCTTTCCATTCAACCCAAAATTCCCGTAATTTCGGTTGGTACGTCAAATGGAACGGACCATTTCGGTTTGGTCCGACTGGCATATTTAAGACCAGCTTTGAAGGTGGTCCACTTTAACCGGTCTGGTCATTTACGTCGAAATCTGTTCATGTTGTCCCTTCTGAGTTCCTAATTTATTTCCTGCACATGGTGGTTCTAGTTTCATTAATATGCAAGGAATTGATTTAGCGCCGCAATTTACTAAGACCTTTAAGTAGTAATTTCTGCTACATTGCTTATTACGTTCGTTATACCACTACACGAGAAATTTCTGCAATTTGATTGGCTTAGAGCAGTGGTATTTCAGCTAAATTTGAAATACCTACTTGTGAAAATTACAAAACCTTTGCAGGTAGTAGTATAAACAAATAAAAGCATGATTAGAGGTGATATTTGGCATAAATACAACTCGTGATATTTCAAAATTGTCTCAAATTTCACTCGCCTAACGGCTCGTGAAATTACGTATAACAATTTCGAAATATCACTCGAGGTATTTATGCCAAATATCACTACTAATCATACTATTACCTATACAAATCAGACATGGAGTCAAATTAAAGGCATTTTATATTGAACAATAATACCCTGTCTGTTGATTTGGGTATACACTTTGTATGAAGCAAAACACTTCCAGGGAAACAAGCTGATAAGAAACCTTAAGAGTGTTCTATTGTGACGCTTACACCAACCATTAAAAAGTAAAGTTCATCTGGTTTTTTTCCTAAACAACGTGGCCTACAACCGAGATAAACCCACGGTACTCTTTTTGAGCGTGCAGTTCGGCGAGACAGGCTGCAATACACTGTTTTTGCAGTACAAACGAAGCCGGCAAAAAAAAAACGACTAACACAAAACAAACGTTACCACATGTTTAAACTGGAACGTAAAGACGTGAAATTGCGGGAACAATTAACGTCGCCAATGGGCAAAGAAACGCCTTGTGGAATTACAGCATTGGACTTCGTTCACGTGCTGCTGTCATACTTCACTTCTGCCCTAACTTCTTCTGGAAGAAAGCACGGCAGTCTCTTGTTCTGACTAACCGCGCTAGATAAATCATGCGCGATTTGTTGATTCTAATGATTTTCAATTGCAGCACAGTTCCAGGGAACTTTAATGCAATCAGTCCTGGAATGCTTTGGAGGACCTAGATTCTCTAGCAGCCCTTTAATCGCAGGGAAGAGTGGTAGCTTTTTTATCAAAGCCAATCTTACGTCATACTAACGGTTTCTGTTCTAATGTTAAGAAGACGTCGGAGATTGTAGTTTGTCGGTACGAGTTCAGCTATTCCTTCTTGTGTACTGCTGTCAGCAGGACAATACTTAGGAACAACGCACAGTGGTTTACCAACGATCTCAGCCATGAACTGCGACCAAGGCATTTCGCGTATATCAAGTCTTTTAACTTTCTTAAGCAAGGCAACCCTGCTTATCCGAAGGTGTTCAAGGACGTCAGATAGAAGAACATAATTTCGTCGCCTGAAAAGAGGTATAGTAAGTAACGATCAGAAAATAGTACTACCCCGCGACTAAATTTGTCAGTTAGACCCCCTTTATACAAGAACCTGATTAGCCCAAAGTTTGAAACAGGTGCCTATTTCAATTCTACTTGACATTCATGACGTAGGGTTGATTTCCAGTGCCGCGTAATTTTTACGTGCGTACGTGCGTAAAATTTACGTTCGCAAATAAAATAGAGGCAATATCGTAAAAGTTAAACCTTGCTCAACTTCTCGTTTCAGCTCAGCACTTTTTATCTTGCCTCTATTTTACTTACTTGATTAAAATTTACGTGCGTTTACGTGCGTAGCCAAAAACGCGTCAGTGGAAATCAACCTTTAGGCTTCGTCCACACGTATCCGTTTTTGTTTGAAAGCGGAGCCTACATTTTTTCTCCCGTTTTTCTCCCGTCCACACAGATCCGGTGGAAACGGTCACTGAAAACGCATCTTTTCAAAACTGCTCCCCAGACTGAAGAGTTTTTAAAACGCCGTTTTGCTGTACTCGTGTGGATGGGAGTCGTGTGGGAGCTGCTCGTGAGGTCTCTCCTAATTGGTCGGAGGAAACAATGAAATGTCATTCTTCCTATTGCTTTAGTATTGTTTGGGGTCATGGAAACGCACCATTGGTGACTTCTCTTCCGTGGATGGATGAAAACGGAGGTTTTTGAAAACGATTACGTCACTGTGTTGGATATCAGTAAATGCACATGCTACCATTAAAGATGATACGGTTTTCGCTTGTTACTGCGTTTTCGAGTGGACAAGAAAACACAATGACATTGCGACTATTGTAACCGGGGCCACTTAGACAAAGTTAACCAATCGGATTACAGTACTATGACAATACATTCCAAGAAAGTTGTGGGTCGGCCAATCAGCACCTCGTAAAACAAAAAAAAAATAAGTTACTGGAAGCACAAAATGCAATGTTGATAGCAAACGTTTTTCAGGAAAGTAAAATGTTTCACCAGACAATGTTTTTCTACTCGAAACTTTGCATACAACACCCAGGAGACATATTTCTTTGTCATCTAGCAGCAATGTCTTAGCTCCTATTGCCGCGCTTTGCAATAACATGCGACCACAAGTCAAAAATATAACTACCGTTTACGTTTTTTGCCTGCATCACTCACTCTAAGGAACCTCTCGGGAAACACGCTCTTTCCTCAGCGGGTTCAAAAGGCCACATCTGTAGGTTGTAATTGGCTGATTTCGACCCATGTTGTTTATTTCGTTTCCTGGTAATTATGATTGACAACTAACTTTCTCGGAATGTAATGTTATTTTCCTGTAATCTGATTGGTAAACTTTGCCGGTCTAGGTGGTTCGGGTTCTAGTAGTTGCACTGTAAAAAACTCTGAAATGGATACCTATGGACGGGGCCACGTATATAAAACCAAACCAGTTTCTCGAGTTTAACTCCTCGGTCAACTGGTTTGCTGTATTTTTAACTCTGTTCTATTCATCTTTTATACTGCTTGATTCATGTTTTATTCCTAAGCACCAAGTAAGGAAAGATTGATTACCCGGAGGTTAATTCTTGACCGGCCATCACCGGAAGGTTGTAAGTTGGAAGGTGTGGTCTGTCGCACATTTCAAACTCTCCCTTCATAGAACTTTTTATGGTCGAAACTCCTTCGAAAATACCATTTGTATGGTCCGGGACGTCATCTAATTAAAGCAAAAGCATCTCAAATCAAAGATATTAAGAAGCATGCAAAAACATTAACTAACTCTCTTCACTTCTGTGTACACTTTACCTCCGATCAGGCACTTTGTACGCCTGGGGCCTGTTTCTCGAACGTCCCAGTAACTTTTTCGGGCCCGGAAAGCTGTGTTACTTTTGCTGCGTGTAAAATCAAGATCGAGGATTCAATAGCTTTGCAGATGATAAGGTATAACTCTCAGTTAACAAAACATAATGGACTAGTTTGTTAGCTAGCACCAGCGCTTTCGCTCTTTAGATTTTGATTTTAAAAATGGTCTTCGCGTCCGCAAAAGTCTCCGGGTCTTTCGAGAAACAGGCCCCTGATCGAAGGTCAGTGAACATTCAGAGATCGCGCCTCGATGAGGCTGGAACTTACTAAAACACAGTAACTTCTTAAATGGCCAGCACATTGACTGTGAACGAAAACTAATGAATAATAACACCGGCCGCTATTTACAAAACTCACTGAACAAAGAGCATGGGCCCACACTTTATGCCAGCACAATTTGGAGTACAACACCACACGTGGAGCAGAGCTCAAATATCTGCAGAACACTACGGGTGCCATTTTGACGACCTCACGGTAGACCGTTCACACTTGTATGACAACGACAATATCAAAACAAGTTGGTCTGAAGTGTATGCGGCTTTTGACGGGGAGGGGGGAGGGAGACAGGGGTGTGGACTAGATCTCGCTCCGTTTTGGTATACAAGTCCTTTCAAATTATGCGCACCATTTCATCTCATTTCACCACTTTCTGTTGGTTTTCCGCGCAACAGTTTTTTGTCACTTGAGCGTTACGTGACGCTTGCTTGTTATGTACGAGTCCATTCAAATTATAAGCACCATTTTGATCGCATTTTCCACTGTTCTCCAACGCAACACGTTATTTGTCCCGTGAGCGTTGGGTGACTTTCTGTTGTTGTACACAAGACCTTTAAAATTACGTCCACGTTTTGGTAGCTTTGATCGCACTTTCTCCTAGTCTCTAACTCAGCACGATATCTGACTCGTGAGCGTTGCGTGACGCCCATTTTTTGTGCATAAATCCTTTCAAATTTCTTCCACCCTCCTGATAACTTTGATTGCACTTCCTCTCCCGTGCAACATTTTATTTGTCTCGTGATCGTTGCATGACGCTCATTTGTTGCGCATGAGTCCTTTCAAATTTCGTCCACCTTCTGATCGCTTTGATCTCACCATTTCTCCCGTGCAACACGTTATTTGTCTCTTGAGCGTTGCGTGACGAGACAACCAACGGCTGCTTAGGAGACTAACTTCCTATTCTCGCAAGTCTTCCTCTGCTTTGACATGAAGGATGGCGAGAAGAGAATTTACTGAGCGCTAACTCACTATGATGCGCCTCATGGTGCACTACGAGAGATCTACTCATATCATCCTATGTCCCGTCTATTATCTACCAGGTAGAACGCGGGTAAAAAAAATAAAATAAAAAAAATTACGTAGAAAAAAATTACCAAACAGGGAAGAAGATCCACCGAAGTCCCAGCAGCCCTACAACAAAAGCCGTAAAACAATAATTGTTCAGTCAGAGTGATTGACACTATTTTTCTCCTAACAATAGGGAGTTTACGAAACGACCACGGGGACGGCTACGAAAAGGTCACTTAAAAAGTGAATTTGCGCTGCCGCAAACTTTATCGCGCTCATTCCATCTCGTTTTAATTCGTCAAATGGCAAATTTGTTTAGAGTTGAATTCCAAAGGACTGCACCAAAGTTCAGGAAAAGAAAAAGAAAGTTGTTGTCTTGTTTCCGTCCTCGACGAAACGTGAAATTAGGCAGTTTCACGTTGTAGTCGTGCAATGACGGCACAGAAATGTGTAAAAACGGTGATGCAGGTGCAACGTTAGACTTTCAAAAAAGTCCTTCGTCCGATTTAATATGCGCGGAACCTCTCGCGACTTCGTCGCTCGCTTGGCCGCTTCGTGGCGCTTCCTCTCAAATAGTCCTTAAAGAAATGTATCGAGATTAGTGTGGATAATGTTGGGGCTTAACATGTTAAGGCAAGCTCTGTTTCACAAACACCTTAAAGCATCGCAAAGAACATGTACTCACCTCGCCTTCATACGCAGACGCTGAGGGGGTCGTCAGATCAAGATCCTCGAGAACACCTGATAGACATAAAAAAATGGAGGGCTTAGGAATTGACAATACGTTAATTTCATTAACTCTGACGATAGCTCCGATGCCCTGAGAAGAACCCAAGCAATCAACTCAAGTAATCACACCATTTTCCCAAGAAAATCGTGTTAACATGCGCTGATCCAGATTTACAGATTTATGAGGTTGTAAGTTTCGCACTCCACTAGACGCTCGCGACTTGCTGACAAACGGTAACGATTTTGTCTCGATCCTTGCCTATCTAAGACTATATATCACGAGTCACGCACCTTCGAGGAAAGCCCTTGTGTTTGGTTCTTTGGCACAGCTAAGTGCGGTACTCCCAGAATACGTTGCGAGTAGTGGGTCTGCACCGTATGACAATAACACTCTTAGCACAGCCACGTGACCACCTTCTGCCGCATCGTGAATTGGCCTACAACGAAGTGAAATTTCAGTAACACGGTAAACTAAATTTGAACTAAATTTGTAGATACGGTGACGCCTTTAATTAGTCAAGTCCTACAGTGATAAGCGAAAAAGTGAACATAACGTCATCAAAGATACGCCTATACATGGGACTCACCTTATTCCGTCATTTGAGCACGCATTGACATCGGCACCATATTTGGCCAAAACTTTGACAACGTCAACGTGTCCTCTGGAGCAAGCCTCGTGGAGCGGGGTCCATCCTGCATTGTCTTTCGCATTCGGGTCGATACCTTGGTGGATGTGGTGCCGCACTGTCTCCTACGAAAAACATACGTTACCAAGTAATTATAAATTTATCATTATTATTTATTTACACTCGGCAGTATTTATAGTATTAAATGTAATACGAGTGGCGCCGAGCAAATGCCTGACACAGATAACTTAAATCAAGCTTAAGAGGGTTAACAATAGCATCTGGCCGGAGGCAAAGCAGTTGGCTATTTACAAGCGTTGCCAAGGATTTGAGCTCGGGAAAACCGTGAACAAATCCTGCTAGAGGTCAAAACGGGATTTGAATTCAGGGCCTTCGAACTGCAAGTCCAGCGCTCTAAAGCCTAATGGTCTTGGAAGTTACCCAAGGAGATCAATAGAGCAATTTCGATATGGTAAAGTTCACCCTTGGTTTGGCGGAATACAACAAAAGAAATAGCCTTGAGGCTCAGAGATGAATACATTTCTCTTGTCTTATTCACCCAAGCCTCGGAGCCAAGTAAGAATTTTAATTTGTCGAAATTGGTCTCTTCGTGCTGGATCAAACAGGAGCTGAAATACTGAGTAGACCATTGGATTCAAAGACGAAGCGCAAAAACACTTCGCGATGATATCACGGCGGAAGTTCATAAAGTGAAACCTCCCCACTAGTAACTTCAAAAATTGTAATTTACTTATTACGTGGATCTAGTCATAGGGCGAAATCTCTTTCACATTATGTTGACACTAAAGAGTACGACATGTTCTATAAACAACACAATACTCACATGGTAACCTAGCCTGGCCGCTTTATGTAGAACGGTTTCCCCTGTATTACGATTCACATTTAGCTTCCTGGCTTCTAAAATGAATAATCAAGAGAAAGAAGTTAGAGAAACGCTCAAGCCAACGAGTTTATTTCTAAGTCAAAATTAACTTTACCTTTAAGGTTTTCATCCTCGTTTGCACTCTGCGGGAATAAGACAAAAGAATGAAACATTAGCCACTCAATAAAATCGCACAAATTGTAAAGTTATGACGATGAGTTCATTCCAGTGCCTCAGAAAGCTGGACAAACAGGTAGGGGCAGAGCTACGTTTTGCTATCGGAATTTCCTTGGAAAACGATCTTTACAGTGACTATCAAGAGACTATCTTTACCAACCAAAATTAAAAACATACACACAGTTTCTTGACAGAGCTATACTCGTTAGTGACGATCAAGACTCCAACAACGATGCCAGTGTACTGTAATGGGCGAATTTTGTTTACCCTTATCAAGCGAAAAAGCAATGCACAACAACAAAGGAGAGGAAGCATGGCAAGAGAGTATGAATTTTAACGTGAAAACAGTGCACTCCTCTTTTAAATGACTGCCTAGAACTATGCAGGGATCAAAATTAACTCTTTAAATACCAATATCCACTTACAAATTCTCCAGATTGACCTTCACACATTTTCGTAAAGAATTAGTTGAAAGAATTTGCTTAAAGATCACAAGATTTTTCTTTTGACGATCATTTTATTAATTATCATAAGCTACAATTCTTTTCATGTATTGATTTTGATAGAAGAAAATGGATGTTAGTCAATCTTGGGACTAAGCGTTAAGGAGATGAATCTCGGCGATCTAGTCCTAAAAAATTACGATCAAGCCCTTTAGATATCTTAACCAGTGACAACATCGTCAAAAAATATTCATGACTTTCAAGGAGCTGTGTTACGGCTGTCATATTGCCAATCAAAGGTAAGTAATTCAACTGGAATTTAACGTTATCACAGCTTCGTCTTAAACAAATATGTATACGAACCATAATATCAAACGTTAAAAAAAAGGAACAAGAAAAAATTGTTAGGTTAACAAGTATTAAAAAACAACAATTCGATCTGTTGTAAATCTTCTATAAGTTTGTCCATTCGTGCCTCCTTTCATATTTCCTGTGTGTCATCTATACTTTTTATAAATGTTTTGAGCAGTTATGTTTATGGTTCCCTCAATTCGGTGACTGGCAGTTTCCACTATTTGAATCTCGATAAATTTCGTAACAAAACTCCTTTAATATTGGACAGGGATTTTACCTCTTCCAGGATTTCATCTATTTGCCACTTGCCACGAGCCTTTAGACAGTTCTCAACCAAGTGTTGGACTTCTTTGTTCTCGGCGATTATACTGTTTTTAACAGGTTTTGAATGAACGCTCTCCACCACGAGTAAAGGAAACTCTGATGCTTTGGAAGTCTTCTGTTGTGCATCTGAAGATATTCATTAAAAAAATTTAAGCCCTAACTAGCTACTTTCAACTTATTTCTATTCACCTTACGGGTCAAATGGTTAGGACGCAAATGAAATTTCTGTAGGTACCTTTTTATAAATTCAGACAGATATCCTATTATCAGTTTGATACTCAATAACTTTCCAGTTCTTAATTACATCCCATTTAAATTAAATGCACAATTGCATTTGCACTCACATTCACGCCCACACTCCAATTCCCATTCGCATTCCCATTTTACATTCCCAGTGGTATTAACATTCTCATTCACGTTCTCTTTACTATTTACATTGACATCCATAATCAGTTTCCCACTTGAATTCACATTCCCTTTTCCAGTCACCTTTAAATTCACGTTCCTAGTCACATTCTTATTTGCACTCCCTTACCATTCATATTTCTATTCACATCACTAATCATATTCCATTTGCATTCACATTCCCATTTTCACTCACATTTACGTTCATCTTCCTATTCACATTCTTAGTGCACTCCCTTTTCATTTATTCACATCACTAATCTTATCCATTTGAATTCACATTCCCGTTTTCACTTACAATTAATGGGCCGTTATAAAGATTTCTAGTCACCAGGTAAATACAACAAGTGGGTTGAGAATCAAACTGCTAGGGATTTTTTTGGTTCTATTCATTATTATTTTTTTCTATGAAAGTAGCCAGGAGTCACGTTCACTGTAACCAGGGAAAATCCCCAGCCCCTGGCACATATTAGGGAGCTTAAGCAACAAGGACGGTGACGGCTACAAAAACGTCACTTACAAAGTGAATTCCCGCTGCTTCAAACTTTACCACGCTTATTCCATGTTGTTTAATTCGTCAAATGTTGGCAAATTATTTTGGAGTTGAATTCTAAAGGACTGTATCACAGTTCAGGAAAAGAAAAAGAAAGTTGTTGTCGTGTGCTCCCGCCCTCGACAAAACGTGAAATTACGCACTTTGATGTTGTAGTCGTGCAACGACGGCAAAGAAATGTACAAAAAAGGGTGATGAACGTGCAAAGTTGTTGTTTTGTTTAATAAACCTATCGCTTTTTTGCCGTTCTCGTTGCCGTCGCCGTCGTCGTTGCTTAAGCTCCCTGATAACAGCCCTGTAATTACTTTTAAATTCATATTCCCATTCCAAACCATATTCACGTTCCATCAGCATTTGATTTTCACTCGCATGCACATTGCCCTTAGCATTCACATTTTTCTTTCCATTTGCTAGAAATTTCATGCCAAGCGCTTTGTAGACTGCTCCAGAAATCCAGGGACAAGAAATTGAGTCACAACGTGCCAGTTACAATAAGAAGTCTTTGTGTGAAGAAATAAATAAGCAATTTGCACGATGACGTCATTTTACAACTACTACCAGAATCCTTAGGGGTTTTCCTTTCTCTTTACTGAATCTCATTGGGATTACCACATTTAAATGTGGAAAGAAAAAGTGAAATGGATTCTGGTAGCGGCAGTGGTAGTGATGGCAGGTGGTGGTAGAAGTAGTAGAAGTAGTGGTTGTGGTAGCGGGTAATGGTGGTGGTAGTGGTAGTGGTGGTGGTGGCGGTAGTGGTAGTGGTGGTGGTATTACCTTCATCAGTTTGCTTCCCCTTTCCTCGGGTTCGCGACTCCAGTACGACTGGTTTAAAGTCCTAGAAGACAGAACATAAATAAGAAAACATCATCAAGTTGCAGGGAACCATGACAACAACCAACTGGTCAATCAGCAAATCGTTTGTTAATATATTCGACGAGTCAACACTTAGCCTAGACCACCGTACTTTTCATAAAGGGCTGAAGGTTTCACTGCTTCGGGAAGCCTAATAGCCCTTATGCATGTTTACGTCCGACGATCAAATTTCACCACCAAGCCTTGTTTTTAAAATGGAAAGTTGCGAAGTTCTGCTGTATTAATGAAATCCCAAAGCAGTAGAGTTGAACAGAATACCCACGCATAAAGAGTGAAATGCGAGGAATTTTGCTCATAAACGAAGCTTGAAGGTGAAATTCGCACATGCATAAGGGCCACTAGGCCCAAAAACATGACAAAACATTATGAGGTTTTTACAGGAGTAAACTGTCACTGCGTGAGAAACTTAATCAGTAAACAGATAAATAAGTAATAGCACAGTTACATGTACGCACCCTAAATCCTTGGTAAGCAGTCACAAGCATGTATGTCTTGATACGATGCGACCTGTCTGGCTTTGCTGAATGGAAAACGCAAATGTTAACGTATTTCATGTAAACTACTGATTTCACCAAGTTTTGGTTTGAAGGTGAATGGCAACATCAGAGACCTTAAGATCGAGGATTTTCGGCATTTTCTGCGAACCGCGAACGTCAAGAAGTCACCTGGCCGGTGTCTTGCCGTTCAGGTTTGCGGTTTGAGGTTCACGTTTGTACGGCCAGACCACGCTCCAGAGGTAAGCGATTTACTGCAAAGATTTTTGCACTTTAAAACCTCACAATCCCAAGTTTGTGAGAAAATACTAGTTTTTAGAACTCTTTCTTTTATTTTTTATAGAACCGTGATTTTGAAGACGAGCTAAAACAGAACACAGTGAACGACTGAATGAAAACAAACATGGCAGCCGCCGGCTACTACCTGCGAATCTTAAGTTCCAAATATGGGAAGAGGGGTAACGTGAAACCGCCAATCGCAAACCGCGGTTTGGCGTTTGCAGTAAGATGGCCAAACCTTGATCTTAAGGTCTACATTAGGCAGAGCTCCGAACGTCTGCGAAGCGAGAGGCTGGCAAAGTATCCCACACGCATCCCACAGGTTGATTACAGGCAAAACTAAATGATGTCAAACAAGAACACAAATATGAATACAGGCAACTTACCAACGCCGGTATTGCTGGGCTGAGCTACCTCCTGCCGAAAAGAAAAAAAAAATGCGATGAGAAAACAGCACTACATAACCCGACAGGAATGTAGATATCGCGTACAATAACTGAAAAAACCACTTGAAATTTTCCTTCAGTACGTAAAACACTTTTAAAATTCGGCTATAAAATCGCAATAAGTGCACTTTATGTGCACTGTAGTCTAAAAACAATAGAAGACAAGGCTCAGAGTACTAGGTCAATAAAATTGACATATCACAGGCATTTTAATTTTCTAAATTTCGAACAAGTGGCCGTATTAACGGAGTGAAATTATAAGATTGGTTACATGATCAATAAATGGCAATTTTGTGCTGCAAAACTAGCCAAAAGTGCAAATTATGCTAGCAATGCTTTTTCCGGGAAGTACATGAAAATTAAACTCGTAATGATGATGAATTAAGCCAAAACGCCTTCTGTGGTGACCTATAAAGACACACTTCATGTAACACTACATAAACTGACCTGTTTTTTCACCTTGAGTGGTTCTAACCCTTCTTTGAGACACTTGGCTACCTTCGTCTTCATATCCGGGTCTTCTGTGGATAAGGATCTCTTGACTGAAGTGGTTTCTGGAAGGTTTTCCTTTCTGTTTGCCTTCAAACCACGGGCTAAAACGAAAAGTTTTCATCAGTACAGTTTGCCAGAACACAATTTTCAAATTTCAACACAAAATACAGAGAAAATACGTAAGCTGTCAAGCTAAAAGCATGACTTACTGTCACTTGAACTTCTTCTCACTTTGGCTGGATTAGTATCCTTTGAGGGGATAAAAAGGATGCGTGAGCATTTATTCATTTTTTACCATAGGAAGAATAGCTTTCGTTTCTTTTCGGGGACCGTCGTAATGTAGAGGAATGCACGAGCACAAGAATAACTGAATGCACGAGCACAAAATGACGAATTTACGCGACAACATGACCAATGTATGCGCCAAATGGAGAAAGTACAACAAGATTAAAAACGTGAATCATTTTTAGTTCTTTAATGAATTATTCTAGCTTGAACCTGTGGTATAAACTATATGTTATGTGCTAAAATCAAGAAGAAAGTACTAACAAATGAGTTTACATGTCTCGACTGCGACATTTATTGTTCGTGGCTAAAAGATCCATCCAGAAATCACCAGTATTTTCAGTAGAATAGACCGATTCATAATTTTGTTAGAAGAAAATCTCTCTAAAATCTTGCGAGGAAAGAATGTTACTATACCGATTCATATTTTTTTTAAGAAGAAAATCTCTCTAAAACCTCCAAAGGAAAGAATGTAAATGCCCTGACTTCAATGAACTGTGTTCACGACAGAGAGACGCAATTAAATTAGCTTGACCATGCTTACACTGCAAGAATGGATGACAGTTTTGAGGATTTGCTGACGCTTAGCGGAAAAAAGAATGTGAATATACCGATTCATATTTTTTTAAGAGGAAAATCTCTCTTAAAACTCGAGAGGAAAGAATGTAAATGCCCTGACTTCAATGTACTGTGTTCAGGGCAGAGAGACGCAATTAAATTTGCTTGACCATGCCTACACTGCCAGAATGGATGACAGTTTTGAGGATTTGCTGACGTTTAGCGAAAAAAAAGAAAAGCAGGAGAGCAGAGTGAATTAATCTTGGCCTAATTTGACAAACAGCAGAACGATGATGTTCGGCTCTTTCTAAAATTCAGCATCTTCTTTGCGCAGAAAAACAGAAGTGACTTACCATTTTTAAATTCTAAAGTGTGGAGCAGAGCTGGAAAACACGGCTTTTAAAATTCAAATCGCCGCACGCACGAGCATTGCGTGAGCATCATAAAAACGAATCTGATTGGTTGATCTACGGCGCGCGCATTTTTGACATTGCCATGTCACAAAGGACAGTTGGTTTCCATTTACACTTCAGAGAAAAACATTTTCATGTTGCCGCGACGGAAAAGCTAGTTTATTTCTCTAGGAAACGCTTATAGTTTTTTCAAAGACGAAAAGAAAAGGAAGAATAGAAGGTACGTCAAACCTCTATTTCAATCTTAATTTATATTTTGAAACTTGCTTTGAAAAAACGGACAAGGACTTTAGCTAACGATCGACCCACAAAACTCTTAGCTTTGTGCCTTCAAGCTTCTCTCTGAGGGATGTTGCTAAAACGAGAAACGAGAAACGGGGAACGGGAACGGAAAAAAGGCAAAAATGGGAACAAAACAGAGAACTGGAAATAAAGTCACTGACAGGGCTGGGGTTCAAGTTAGGTTTTCTCCCCATTTTTTCATTTTCCCGTTCCCCGTTTTACACAACACCAATTTCACAAAACTGAAAAAAAAAGTGACAGAAAACTTGATAACAATATGGACTGAGAAGTTATGGTTCCTCGTCACCTAGCGTAATTTCGCTTGAATGCTCTGAAGAAGGACTAGAGCTGGAAAGGAAAGATTTTTCAAAATCCTCTTAGGATAGAGTGGTAAATTCCCTTTATCGCCTCAGTTGATAAAACATCTGTTTCGCGTTCTTCTATCCCACGAAGACAACCCTTCATTTTTAAGTACCTAAGGGCCGATCCGCAATTGTGTTTGAAACATCTAACTCTAAAAATTGTATGGTGACAATTTTTATTTTGAGAAAATTTATCCGCACTTGAAATTATTTACTCTTAACAGGCTGTCACATCTGTCACTACTTAATGGAAAAATAATGGCTTTACAACAAATGACTGACAACAAAAACCCGTTTTCGTTTATTAAGTCGACTTTGTCCAGTTTTTACAAGGAACAAATTTTGTCCGCGGTGCTTTGGAAGATTGTCCCGTGTGAGGCAAAATTTGTAAAATCGCAACAAACCATCCGCATTTGTAAAGCGTTGGTGATGACCGAAAATTTGGTTAAATAACGGCCTTTTTTGTTGTGCGGATAGACCCCTAGTCTCCTCATTATTTTTTGAGCGATGCACGTCAATAGGAAGTCGACTTTTCGCATTCTTGGACAGTGGCTTTGCCAAAATTATCGGCCGCATCTTCTCTAAAAAAGTTAAGACACCTGGCAATAAAAAATTGCTAGCGTCACGTTATATTACCAGTGCAGATGTCTCACTTCCGGTTGATGTCCGTCGCTCTAAAAAAAAACCTTTGCTTAAGCTTCCAACATCTCAGCAAATCGAAACTCGTTGTCGTCCGTTTGTGCTTGATCGTATCTTGAATATTTTATTCGAATTTCACTCGATTAGGTCGAGTCAGTATCGGCTTGTTAATATTCTGAGAAGCGTTAATGGCGCTTTCAACAGTTAACAGTTACAGTTGTAAATACAAATTCTCCGAAAAATTAACACATCAAAAGACCTTCAGCGATCGGTTGATTTATATGAATGGGGATGTCATCGCGGTGAACAATGTTTCCCGCAACGATACGCTTACCAAAACACCTTGATAATGTCCACTAAATATTAAATATAGTTACCGTATTCTTGTTATTCGGTAAAAACGTTTTCGTTCGATGTACATCTGTTGGTTTGAAGACTAAAGCACGTTTGTCTGTAAAAGGAAATTTGTAATATCATGAAATGAATAATTAATAGCATCAGCGGGTGCAAACAAAATGATGCTAATAATTCAAAATGAGGCGGTATGTAACGCAATTCTCGTCACACAAGGCCCTAGGGCATCAAGGAATAAAGACAAAAAGGGAAAATTCTGTTGAAATTTACCTGCATCATCGGACTTTCGTCTGTTTCTGGGTTGTTCAACCTGGTGGTAAAAACAAAATTACAAAGTTCAGTCAGTTTTTTAGCTAGTCTGATCACTTCACTAACTGCACATCAATTACGTCCACACAAACACCAAAATAATTAAACTCAGTTGTAAAGCCTTACATCCTCAGGTTTAGAGTTCGATCTTTTTCGCTTGACAGGTTGCGCCTCTTGGTTTTCGCTACTTTTTACCGACGAATCGTCTTCTTGCCCTAAAAAATGTTATCAAAGTACAACGGCCACTCAGATTAAAGACAAGACACATCAGGGGCACCCAACGACGGTTTCCTCCTAAATACATTGAAAACACTTTTTAGGCTATCCAGAGTACTTTTAGATATCTAGAAATGCATTCTAAGTGTGGCTATAAAATTTCTATCTGTTCGGTCGTCCTAAAAGAACTTAAGTCTTTTCGAAATTACAAAGGCCTGAGTATTATTTTTCCGAAAATTTTAGTTGAAATTTGGCGTATTACGAAAGTGAGACATTTTCTGATTCCTAACGCCATCATATTTTTGAATCCGAAAATTTTAGGTTCCCTTTTTTCTACGAAAAATAGCCTAACTTAGGAAGGAAAATGTGAAAATTAAACTTCAGAAAATGGTAGGGAATTTATAAGATAAACTTCGCAAATTGTACATGAATGGAACGATCATCTAGAAATTTTTAGCCGTCCTCAAGTAGTAGTGGAAAATTCACGGCAATATTTCCTTCTCCGAACAGATATTTCACAGAAAACAGTCGTTGGGTGCCTCTAACTGATGGCATCTGTACACTCCACCACACTCTTTATGGACAAAACCAGAATCACAAAATAAATAAAATACGACAACGTTTATGACTTGATTGTCAATCTGATTCTCAATCCAAGTCCAATGTTAAGTTTTGACTTGTATCATTAACATTTTGGGAAACGAATATACAGACGTTTCACTACATATAATTGTAAGGGTCATAACCTTCGAGAGCTAGTAGTCCTTGCTAAAAATTATTTAGGAGTAAGGCGTTTCCAGTTTTGCTAACGGCTTACAAAACTTGCTTCTAAAGGTGTTTATTCTTCTGTGAGGTCTTTACATATTTTCCCAAGAAAATCGGGACTAAAAACTCCGCAGTGTTTAAATCAGCTTTAGAAACACCCATCACGTTTCAATTTCCATGGCATTTTCTTCAGGGGTATGAATGAAAGCCTTAATGAAGATTAGAATTACTACGTAAGTACCTGGAGCCTTAATGGTCATGCTTTTTCTCTGAGAAAACCAAAGCCGCTGCAAAACAAACAAATGTTGGGGGGAAAAGACGATTAACACCACGGATATGCTCAAAAAGGTCTGAAGCAGAAAAACTGAATCGTCTTCCTTTTTTATTCAAACTGTATAATTAAACTGACGATTAACAAATGCACAAAGCAGTGGAACCGAAAATAGGCTCCTTCATTCCACCTGAACATACTAGAGAGAAAAGAACGAGTGTGATGACTTGATTGGTTATAAGGTTTTCAGATAAATCATCAGCCCTCAGTGTCATTACATAACACTTACAACAACGGTTTATACTAACTTTGCGTTTAAACTTCTTAAGCCAAACTTTTGTTGCTGCAAATGAAACAACAAAAAAAATTGTTAACCCCTTACGGCATAATGATAAAAAGCCTCTACAAGGAATTTTAATATAAGCTTAAGAAGCTTAATGCGTTGTAAATTTTACGTTAAACTCTGAATGGTTGAACCTATTAAACTGAATAAAACTTTACGTCGGACCTGGAAGCAAACGTCTGACCTTCAGCTAAGTCAAAGACTTTATTTTAACGCAAGTCGATAGCAGATACTTCCGACGCTACGTTTAATGCAAGTGGCCTTAAAGGGGCTGTGTCACGGCAGTCCAGTTCATTTTGTTTAATTTTGCCAATTACTCGCCCTAAATCGCTATGGAACTTAAAGTAAGCAAAGAAATTACAGGTAAGTGACAAAATCAGAGATCCGAGACAAACAAATATGTCTCCTGAGCATTATTTTTGAAGTTGCAAGCAGCAGGGATTAGCTTTGAAAAACTGTTAGGCTGAATAGTTTTCAAAAACCCTAATTCAGTCCGTTTCAATCTTCTTCAGTTTTGCCCATCCGTGGCATCTGTTGTTTCTGTTATGTTATTTTAACCTTCCTTTAAAGTTTTAAGCGTCTATTTTTATGTTTCTCTTAATTTAAAGGGCATTTTGTAATTTCCTAATTTGGCTGAATTTCGTGACACAGCTCCTTTAAACAGGGTAGTTCCCAGTCACCCGAGATAGATGCAGCAAGAACGCACTGCATCAATGGAAGCCCGGACGAATGTGGGGGACTAGAGACGACTCTGGTCTCTAGAACAGTATGGACAAGGGAAGAAAAGGAGGATATAAAAGAGCAGTGACAAAAACGGCTGCATTTATTATCACCATTATAATTGTCACTTATTTGTCAGTTTTAACTAGCTGAACTAAATTTGGTCATAGCTGTGTACTCTACGTGAATGTAAAGTGTTGACAAATCATGCAAATTTATGTACAAAATTGTTGCGACCAACCTCGATATACAGCTCAATCAAAAAGGGTTGCTTTGGTAATCGGTCATTGGTAATTTGGCATTGCGCCTTTGGGCATATCGAACAATGCAAGGATTTACTTGAGTGACCACCAATCAATAGCTTCCCAATGCCCAAAGCTCAATTCCCAATTACCAAAGCAACCTTTACTGAATCAGCTATCTTTCACTTCATACTCATCTCCGAAAGTAGGGGGAATGATACAACGAAATCATTGGGGTCCAGGGATAAATAATGCGTTGCTTTTGTTTTATTCCCCTACCCCTTAGAGTAAAGTTTAAATTAAAATACATCCAAATTGGTCTTAAACTGCACAGATTGTGGGTACGCAGGCGTAGTATGGCAAGATAAGTATTAGTTGACGATGAATGAACTAGTGCAAAATGATTTCAACAAAGGATAGATACTTTACCTGTCTGTGTCCTGGTGTCATTAGTTACAGCCCTCGATTTGTCCTATAACAAAATTTTAATTGAGCAACCTTACAATTTCTCACAAAATCTATGTTTGTTGATGAGCCTATGGTCGGTTACAATTAAGATAAACACAAAAATACGACAACAATAGTGTAATTTAAAATAAAAATTATACACACTTCTTACTAACCAAGTTTGAGGTCTCACGGATTTGTCACATCTCCGACATAAATCAGGCGCGTGGGAAAAGGAAACATTCAAATCACGTGGGCCTTACTGTAGAATACGGCACGCAAAATTGATTTCTGTGCTTTTGTTTATCTATTTTTTTCGGTGCGAGGGGTCCGTTGTAGCACTTAATTTCGGACAATTAAATTCGTTCCGCGCTATTCACCAATCGCAATGACGCTTTGTTAAAAAGCTCGTTTATTGTTTGTCTCACGATAGTCACTTTGCTATTGACTGCGAGTTTTCGACCGCGTACAACTGATCTTCATCAGGTGTCGATTCGCAGAGCGGGACTATTAAACGAACGTACTAGTAAGCCGGATCTTGACTATATCGACACTATACCCTGATAAAGACCAGAAGTACAAGGTCGAAACTTTGCGATAAAGAGCAAAGTGACTATCCGAGGTGCGCCAACTGATGCACTTATCATACTCATACCACGATTAATATCCTTTCATGGAGCAACTACATGGGATGCAAGACCGTTTTTGAGGGCATTACGATTTGAAGGCTCGTTTGGCTCGTGGATGAAAGGGAAAAAGAAAGAAATGATTTGAGTGTTACATTTGAAAAGATTTAAACTTTGAGTGGTAACTCGTTAGTGGATGAAAAGAACGTGAAATGAGTTATTTGAGTGTTAAGTGTTCGGTCGATTCTGTAGTTTAGCCTAAGATATTGCACCGCTTTTTTGCCGTTCTCCTTGCCGTAAAGGTCGTTTTGATTATTAAAAGGAAGATGGTACACAAAGATGGATAGATTTGTGCCATTTATCCCCTCATTACGGGGATTATATGTCTGAAGCACATGCTCTTAGCATACAGAGAAGGATGACACAAAGTAACAGGTGGATTCTGTACATTGAAAGGATTCTGACTTTGACCTCTTCCAGGAATGAAAGAGTCAAGACTCAGCCGACTAGTATAATATACGTGGGCAGATGGAGAGGATGACCAACGAGGTAACACAAAGTTGCACATACTTTACCTTAGGACGTTTCCTAAGACGTCTCTTTAAAGAGTCTTTCTTTTTAATCTCTTTAGCTTTCTCCTTCATTTCCATTTCACTAAACTGCATCATCGCTCTTTGGAGCGCTCTTTCCTCCCGCGTTAACTCGCTGGGGTCTCGGTACAAGTCCCCAGCAGAACCACGCTCGCGCACGGGTGACGGAAGTCTGGGTTCCAAACGACGGATCATTGCACTGTTAACTTTTTTTTTAGAAACGTCTGTCTCCTCACCACTTATCTTTAAATCTGTGCTTTCAGGTGTTTTTGCCGTGGAGCAATAATCACTACATTCCTCTGACGAGGCGCTTGGTGTAATATCGCTTTCTGATTCGCCATTGCATAATAAGGATGAATTAACATGGTTCTCAACCGTTTCGGGAAAAGTACCATCACACGAGTTATTACTTGATTTGGTGTTTGGCGAGCTCAGTACCGTAAGAGGGGACTCGCAACGTAAGTACCTTTCAATGTCGGGGCTGTGTGCTGATTCCCGCAAGGCGCATTCATACGATTGATCAGCGAGCTCCTCCTCTACTGAGCCCCTGCTTCCAAGGCACGTTTTCGTATCAAAAACTGATCTCCGTACTCGAAGCGGCGAGCTTAGAGTCTCACTCTGTCCATTGTAAGCAACTATGTGACGATGGACACGCGGTGAGGTGTCTCTCCTTCCAGTGGGAGGAGAGACAGGCCGAAAACTTCTCTCCCGGAAATCTGGCGAAGGTAGAAGCTTTTCTCCGCAAATCAAGTTCTGTTGTTTGTCATGTGATAGAGTGTTTCCCTCCAGAGAATTCAAAGTAATCGGCGGGGTTAAAATTCGATTGGCAACGCGGGGTGGTCGAATTCCGACCTGAGCATAAACTGGTAAGACTAGTTTAAATCCCGAGGAAGATGAGTGTCCCTTCAATGTTGAACGAACTTCTTGCATCTGTGGAGAGGCTGAAGATTGCAATTCATTATTCAAAGTCTGCAGTTGCGCAGTTCTTACAGCTGCGACGTAAGTATTCGGGGGCGGCGGCACGGCACTGATGAACGGACCAATCAAATGAGTCGCCGCCAAGTTTGTATGAGCATGCTCTTCGCTGGGTTTGTCCGCAGCCATGTGTTTAATCTTCGCTACGGCATTTGGTTGAGTGTACATTGAATTGGCATTTCTCGCAGGGTTGTTTCTGTTAACAGTTGTACCGTTCACTGTGTAGTATCCTGACACCATTTCTCGATTATTCCCGGCCAGAGAAGTTTGAACCTCACTTTGGTAGCTACGAGGTGTCACGGAAGGAAATATTACGTTAGCGTTCACTTGGGATACCTCTGAAGGCGTCACAGCTTGCGCTCCGATTGGTTTGAGCTGACCATTAACAATTCTCGCCGTAATGGTGTTGGCCGCCGAGGGAGGTGCGCTTGCCGGCACAACCTGATGAAAAGAGCGTTTGCAGGCGACACTTTCATAACCCGTTCTCAGAGGGCGCTCAACAGTAGATAATTTATTGCCTGTTTCCTTGTTTATAGCAGTAAGTTGACGAAGTTTGTCAGAGAAAGGAAACTCTCCGTTTCCTTCTCTTGTCATCTTCTGTTGAGCTAGGCTGTCGATTAACGAGTTGATCCTCACACGCTCAAACAAATTGTTCTTCTCTGCGACGTCACCTGAAAGCAAAGTAAAAAGGGAAAATGAGTGCTGGCGTTAAGCTTTATGGTCACGCCCACACGAATTCAGACATTTTAGAGACCACACAGTTCGCTAACCGGAATTGGGGGACAGAGCCCTAAACCGCTCTGGAGAGCGGTTTGAAAAAGAAGAGGTTTCGGTGACTGGATTCACTGGTTTCGTGTGGAAGGTTGATTCGTGCAAAAAAATAAGCGATTTCAAAAATATGCAGATTCCTGGGCGTGGCCTAAGCGACAGTTCACACGGACTTTTTACAATGCTGATCGTAACTAAGGATTGAGAGCGTCGGCTGTCCCTTGGTATACAGTATAGTCGAACCTCCCGTAAGCGATCACCCAAATGCAAAGACTGACTGGTCGCTTATGGGAGGTGGCCGTTTACAAGAATCGACCGACAGGGGTCTCTTCCGAGAAGAGGTCCAGGCACATTTAGTTTATGGAAGATAATTTATTGCATGCAATGTCTATGTTAGGATATGTGTAGTTCCATGTTGTCACTAGAGTTCTTCGTATATTCTAAGTAACATGGTACACACAGCGAAAAGAGAGATCAGCGAATGCGTCAAGTGGACGCTTACGAGAGGTTAAAAACAATGGCATTAACCGTTAGGCTCAAAAAGTGGTTGCGGTCGCATACAGGAGGTGATCGTTCACTATAGATTCCACCTGCAAGGCTCTGACGGGAAAAATTTTAGTGTTTTGGATCGGCGGTCGCTTATGGAAGGTGGTCGCACATGGTAGTTTGACTGTAAATTCATTTACTGTTTTACAAGATTATCTAGTGGGAAACCGAGAATTGCAATAGTCGGTTTACTTTCCTTTTAAATTGCCCGAAATGGTAACGATTTCCACAATAGCTAGGTAACGAACCCGGGTATTTGCCCCGCTAGAGTTAATAATTACTGCGTGTTTTGGGTAATGTTGAATTACAGCAAGGATTTCACAAATTGTAATTTGTACTTAGTTCATTAAAAAAGTCTTCCAAGTACATTGAAGCTAGTTTGCAGAGAGACTAGAATATCAAGACTGTCTTATGAATGACGAGTAATGTATCAGGTCTCGGTTGTTCAAACCGGCTTTGGATAACAGTGGTATCCACCGGATAAATCATTTTACAGCGGATAAGTATCAGGAACCGATTGCGTTATCCACTGGACAGTTATGATAAAAGCAAAGGCAAATGAAAGCGAAGAACAAGGAACTTCCTGGGGTACGCAGTATTGGTGGCGTTATACAAAATGTATGGAAAACAGGGAGGCAAAGATCCATATTGATATTAGTGCTTCCAAGCCGTGTTTACTGAGAGTATTCTGTTGAAGGCATTCCAACTGAAAATGCAAATTATATAGGCATGTGAAATAAAAAGTCCTTTTATTTTTAGTTTCAAGATGCTGAATGGTAATGGGAAATGTTTGAATCTGATCCAGCAGTTGTGAGAATGATTATTTTGCTTTGAAAATAGTAATAAAGAGGTTTTTCCATTGTTATTGCAGGATAAAGTTACACGTTTGTAATTGAATATACCCAAGAAAAATCCAAAAGAGAAGGAACTGGCTGTTCAAAACAGTCTATAAACAACCAAGCAATGCTAAATGGCCACAAGAAAAATCAAACAATTTGTCAATATCCGTATTACAACTACGAACAATGTTTACAGAGGTTGAATCAACTGATTGTGGAATATCAGACCTTGTATTACGCTTAAACTCCTAGGGAGAGTTGGTTTTATCGGGAGTCACTCCTGTGGATAACGCTCAAAATATCACATGTACACAACCGGCAAAACATAAAAACACAAACCTGTCGGTTCCACATTTCGTATCGTTCCATCCAACGGCATAGAAACGTTGTTAGAAGGAACGGCTCTCTCGCTAGACGTCCTGTGACATTCGCTTTCAACTGCAACGTTTTTGGGAACATGATTTTGAGAAGGAGTGACCGCGGAGCGAAAATTAATGCTGTTTATGTGTTCGAATATCGATCGTTCCTGTCTAACGGCTGACGTTTCTTGCTGGTTACCGTTGTTCATGTTGACAGCTGTCGAGAAATGAAGAAAATCGCATAAAATTAATTAGTCAAGAATGAATAATTCAAGCGTGTTGCATAATTTAGTGTTACCTTGGTTATGCTGTTTGTTTTTCAACATCAACTATTTTGATTCCAAAAAAACGGAGAAGCCGCATCAAAAAACGTTAAAGAATAGATAAAATATCCCAAAAAAGATAACATAAAATCATTAGCAAAAGAAGGCTTACTTTCAAGTTCTGAACAGACCTTAGGACAACAAAAAATCAAGAAACGTTCCTCACTTCATTTAATTAAGATTGAAAACCACGCGTGCCATGCAAGGCTTCATTTGAATGGTCAAACCATCAGGCCTCGTTTCTTTGAAGAAAAGTTGTCCCGGGAAAGATGATCTCCCCCCCCCCCCCAGCCAAGTCAACCTTAGCGAGCGTTTACTCCTTTAAGCCCCAGTAACCACGTACAAATTCTCCAAACTGATCTCCATTCATTTCCTTTAAAAATTAGTTGAGAGAATTAGATAAAAGATCATGACATTTTCTCTTTGACGATCAGTTTATTTATTCTCATAACTTCATCACTTGACAATGTATGGACACTGTTAGGAGAAAATTGTTGTCGATCAGTATTGGCACTTAAAGGGTTATATAAGAAAAAAGGTAACCCTTTTGCCCTACCCGAACCAACAGAGCTCGCGCGTGCTCTGATCGTCACTGAACCAACTTTTTGTTGCTCGTGTTCGCGAATTGCCACGTTTTGAAACGAAATGCATGAAAATTTGACTTCCCGGAGAAGCTCGAGTAGGCGAATTACCCTACCAACTGTTAAAAGTTTTCTCCATATAAACATGGCCTAAGATTTCGACACCTCTCGGAAGCGACTTCAATACAGCAACTTACCAGTAGCCACATTGCATTCAACACTCTCTGGTACGTTTCTGTTAAAAAGAAGAGAAAACTCATATTTAGGCACGTTTCTAAGAAAAAGAAAATTAGTTACCTTGAGCAACAACAACAACAACATTAGACGATTCTTCGTAGCTTTATGCACAGGCCTGGACTGGAGTAGCCGTTTCCCCCATCATTCCGTGCTTCTAAAGGTAAAGATGAAGAGTCCTCATTTTACGTCGGTAGCTCGAAATAGTCATCTGACTTACAAACCTACGGCGCGCTCATTTAACCTCCCCCTTCCCTCCCCTCTCCATCACTGCACTGTTTTACGGGCATTTAAAGCTACTTCAAGCTACACGGAAAGGAAAGACGTCGAAAGAAGGATTTGAGGGCACACCTGGGAATATCAAACTCAGGATCTCCCGCTCTACAGTCAAGCTCTCTAACGACAAAGCTAAACCTGTCGCGGAGACAAACAACAGAGAGGGAAAGAAAGAGCCTTCTGGACAAGCTGGGATGTAGGCAGAGCAGCACTGGATAAGAAGAAACTTTGGTTTGAAAGAGAAAGGTTGGACAAATAAGCGAGTTACAGTTAACACAACAAACCTGGCAGTGTCTATGAAGTGCTCGACAGATCCGTTGGCAACCTGATTTGAAAGATATCGATAATCATAAGAAAAAAATTCAGAAATGCAACAATACAAGAAAAAGGTTAGAGAAATAGAGACAAAAAAGGAGAATATTATGTTCATGGTAATAAAACAACATGAATTGTACTCCCAACGAACTGTTCCCAAGGGAAAAGCCGACATTTCCCACGATTTCAGCTTGCTGGACATGCATGCAATACCGAATTCCAAACTCATGTCCCACCAGTTGGGTTTATTTCCTATATCTTGGTAGCTATCCAACTCTTCGGGCACTGACGCTTGTAAATATTATTACTATTTATTATTATTATTTATTTATTTAGTCACTCACAAAACCTTATACAAAGTGAACAAAAGTTGTTAATTAAATTATGAATTAATCTGACAAGGAAGCCTAACGAAGCTTGAAGCTGATATTAATAGGCTTCCTTCAACCACTTAATGAACTAAATTCATGGCTGAGTGCAGAGTGAGCAAGGTCACATTTTGTTTAAATAATTTACTTCAGACTCTTGCTCCAGTGGCTTTTGAGTTAAAAACATTAATTCTAATGGAAAGTTTTCACAGAATTATCTGCTTCACTCTAACGAATCTTGTTATGTACAATATTGTAGAGCATCATTTTTCTGTCTCTACATAGTTACGGTTCTTATCTCCTTAACGACCACGACACTTTTTTTTCCTCAATATAATGATGATCTGGGAAGATCTTCTTTATATTTACGTCTTTATCCCGAAGTTCCGATATATGATGTTTTTAAATTTATTTTCATCTCTGTGAGCCCGGAATACATGTACTCACAGTTGGCGAATACTTGGAAGTAGTTGACATGTTGCCGTTGCTGAGTTCAGTCTTTTCGTCAGCCGAGTCTGTTCTCTGATTCGTGGATACCTTCATGACACTTTTCTGCTGAAGATGTCTAGAAACAAACCAGGAGGGATTTTTGTTAAAACAGAAGCATGCGTCGCGCTTGTACATAGCAAGGAGACATGGGGCGCTTTCCATTCAACAAAAATTCCGATTTGAAATTTCAGAAATTTCACGTGCCCAATGGAGCTGTACATTCCGGTTACACAGACCCGACCCAAGCCACCACGCGTTTGGTTATTGTTCTTGTAAGCAGGATACAAAAGAGCGGTACTGTGGACAACAATTTTGTGAAATAGAAAGGGACATTTCGGTCCCACCGACCGAAATGACCAGACTGGTCAAACTCGACCATCTTCAAAGCTGGTCCCAAATATTCCGGTCGGACCAAACCGAAATGGTCCGTTCTATTTGGTGTACCCACCAAAATTTCCGGAATTTTGGGTTGAATGGAAAGCGCCCATGAACTGAGGCCACGTCCACAAGAATCCGTTTTTATTTGAAAACGGATATTTTTTCCTCCGATTTGGTCTAACGGTCACCGAAAACGCATCTTTTCAAAAACGCTCTTCAGAGTAAAGATTTTCGAAAACGCCGGCTTTTTGTTTACGTGTGGGCGGACGAAGACGGAGGTTTTCGAATACGATGATGTCATACATTATATACTTCTAGCATGACGCATGCTCCGTACGGGATGCTATCGTATTTACATCGTTTCAGCGTTTTCGTGTGGACGGGCGAAAACGCTACGTAAGGATGCGTAATTTTTTTGGAAACGGACAAAAAAATCTCAGTTTTCATAAATATCCGGATACGAATGGACGGGGCCTGAATTAAATAATTCTAAAAGCGTGTCACAACTTTCAGCTGGCAACACGTAGCCTCCTAATCGGGGACAACTTATTATTAAAATCTTATTATAATATATCTAGCCGGTATGGCCGTGAATTCTCTGCTTAGGGCTACCTTAAGCCTCAAGCTGCCTCTGTCATGTAGAGCCTTAAAGCAGCTAGAGATGACCAAGTTGAGAGTGTCTTTGAATAAATATTTCTTTGCTAATCAGGAACCAAGAAGAGAGTCACCTTAGAAGGCTTATGGCTAAGAGCTGAGTTTCTTAACAATATTTACTTTAATTAAGTTAAGTTAAGTTGTGTGGCCTAGAGTTGCCAGCTGGTGCGGTTTTCATAAATTCGGTTAGATATGTATCTGCCATCTGCCATAAAAGTGATAATAACAATATTCTTGCTTAACTAATAGTAATCATAGACTACACGTATGTAAAAGATTAAATAATTAAATGCATTTTAATTTTCTGAACAAAATATGTTTTCACCGTAAATTTAAGTGAAGTACAAGCACTGTTAGGTACTAGCATTTAGAAATACACAAGAATAGGAAATGTATAACGTCAAATTAAACGAGAGAGCAGTCCATCTCAATAAACTAACCGTTCTTCTACAGCTTCAATAAAAAAGACCACATTAATAACATGAATATATGAACTGAGATGGCTCGTGAGTAATTGTTTTTTTTTTTAGCAATTTCTTTTCCATTTCCACAACGTTTCTTACCTTGGCTCACTAACACCGCCGCCATTTACAACTGGTATATCCGGGGAATCACTGTAACTTGGTGTTTCCGCGATACTTACCGAAATTCTACCAGCGGTTACCTAAAACAACAAGACACCTTTTAATAATGTTACACTTTCTCGGCATCTAAGGACAATGCCCGAAAATAGCTGCAGTGATGACCCTTTGGTAGTCTCCCACGCAGCCGATTTAATCTGATCACGCAACGAGCCTTAAGTAGAAGCGTTGCGTGACTGACAATACCGGCTGCTTGCCCCACGTAGATAATCCAAGACAGTCTTGGATTCTGGATTCCAAGCCGTGGATTCCGGATTCTAGGTACTGGATTACGGACATGTCAGTGGAACTTGGATTACGGATTACAATCGTTAGTGGGATTCTGGATTCCTTAAGTTCCATTCCGGATTCCAAGGCCCAAGATTCCGGATTCCACAAGTAAAAATTTTTAGCATTCCGGCATCTGGATTCCCTAACAAGGGGCGAGGCTATGTTGGAGACTCGCCCTTTGGCTGTTTCGCACTCTTAAGCGCCTTCAAACAATAAAACGTCCCCACCGGTTGGACTCTTAAAATTACTGAAATAGACGCCCACAGGCGTCTTTTAGGTCATTTACTGTAACCGAAAAAGAATGAAGTTAACGCAACACTTATATCGTACCGAAGAGGCTATCGTGAAATCTGAGCCGCCTCCTAGTGATTTAGCCACAAAACGGGAACGTAATTTGACGACGGAAAAGCGCGCAGAAAGGACTAAACTCGACTTCCGGTGTCGAATTTGGCGCTCTGCCATTGGTCACACCAGTTGTTTGATTTGCGCGTGCAGTCGTCAACAAACGTTCCCGTTCTGATGCTAAATCAGCCTAAAGTGAGTTAACGCAGCAGGACGGCAGAAAGAAGAGGACTTCGAAACGCTTGTGTGACAAACGTGACAGAGCTATTACTTGCGTGTTTTGTCGTGATCTTCACTTATAAATGTTTTCTGGTCTTGTACCAAAAATCTGTTTAAAG